TTCTTGTCCTCCTCCTTCTTGTCCTTGCTCTCCTTGGAGGCCTGGGAGGCCAGGGAGCCCATGGCGTTCCGGATGGCCTCGTTGTTGGGGTCCACCCCCGGCAGGTTTTCCAGCACACTCTGCAGGAACTCGGGGTCCTGCATCACGTCGTAGTCATCCTCCTCCTGGGGGAACAGGGAGAGGAACTGGGGATCAGCTGGGGATCCCCATCTTCCTCCCCTTCCCAGGAGGAGCAAAGCCTCACCTTGGTGGGCTCAGAGGTGTCCATGGCTGTGCTGCTGTCAACTTCTGCTGCCTCTGCCTGGGCAAACTCTGGGGGAGGAAGGACAGCTGAGGAGGGGGGATTCACACCCCCACGGCTCACCAGGGTGACCCACACACCCACCCCCAAGGGTTGGGGGAGATCCCAACCCTGCCCTGGCTGGAACTAGATGTTCTACAGGAAAGAGGGGCTTTTCACCAGAGAGGGCAGTGACAGGACAAGGGGTGATGGTTTTAAACCGAAAGAGGGGAGATTTAGGTTGGACATCTGGAAGAAATTCTTCCCCATGAGGGTAGGAAGGCACTGGAACAGGTTGCCCAGGGAAGCTGTGGCTGCTCCATCCCTGGGGGTGTTGAAGGGCAGGTTGGATGGGGCTTGGAGCAGCCTGGGCTGCTGGGAGGTGTCCCTGCCCATGCAGGGGGGTTGGAACCTGATGGTCTTTAAGGTCCTTTCCACGGTTCCAGCCTCACAAGAGGAGCCCCCCTTGGCTTTGCCCCTCACCAGCTCCCTGCAGGGACATCTGCATGGCGTAGGCGATCTGCTCCTCCTCGGTCATGCTGCTCAGGTCGGGCAGCCCAGCCCTGCCAAACTCCTGCTGGCTGATGGTCATCTTGAGCAGGGCATCGTCCGAGTCTGCGGGGAACCCGGAACCGGGGCTGCCACGTCTCCCCTGTCCCCCCCAGGGACGGGAACCGGCACAGGGCGGGAGCAGAGGTTCCCAGAGCGCTGGGTCACCTGGCAGCCCCTCCTGGGGCCCTCCCTGCCCCCCCCCACC